AATTTTAAAATGAACGCCCTAGACTGTCCAAAAGACTGCATATTACTGCGGTAATATTAAAAGTTAAAATGGTTTTATGGACGTGATCTCCTTTTGTATCATTCCAAGAAAAAAGGCAGCCGTTTTCAAGGACATATTAAGCACTTTCCACATACTTGTTCAATATTACAAGGAACACGCACCGAAAGAAAAATACCTGTTTTATCAGAGTTTTTATTTCAACGGTTACATTTAAGCGTTTTATGTACACTATTGACTGACTGATTTCACTGAGTGCAATTGATAATGTCGAAGCTCAAGGCGAATCTAACCTCAGTACCGTGCGCTTCTCGTTTTCCAATCAAGTTAAAAATATGTAATTTCTGAATATTGAAAGAAAATAGGACAACTAACCTTCTCCGAAAATTTCATTCTGAAATGCCAAATACGTATTGGACTATATGGTGTTAAAAACTTGACATTTTTACGAAAAATGTATGGGCTCATCGACCCTTTTGCCAACAACAAATTTTGCTTTTTATGATGGCTGATATTTCCTAAAGTATGCGAACAGTTAAAAAGTGAAAGAGTTACTAACTTTAGAAAGCTCTTTCAGTTATTGAAGTTGATTGCATTTACTATGTTTCCATTTGTAGCATTTAACATGATACATTTTCTGTAAAATTCTGATGCCAAATCAGCAAAATTATGTAAACAGTGGCGTCTACAACATTCGCCATTGAGACCTCATTCAAGGGCGGGACCGTCCTTCTCAGCACGTTGAGGTACTCTTTCGCTTAGTTTCTTAACAGGAACTAAGCGAAGGTTTAAAAACCTCTTTGTCACTCCTGTAAGGATTCAGAAACCAGTTTTACCACGATTGGTTATAAGGAAAGGCTAAGAAGCGGTAACACCTTCCAAAAGCGGAGCTACATCACTGGAGGGTGCCGAGGAAACCCTCTCAGTCCTAATAGAGGACAAACAAAAATAATCCATTTTACATTTACATTTACCATATTACTAGCATTTCCTCTCTACAAGGCTTATATGTTCGGATTTTCCAAAAGAAAAATTAAGATTGAGTTTTGTAAAATCCTGAGAAATAAATGGTTCTTAGAAATAAATACTACAGTTGCACAGTTCATTTCATTCCCCCCATCCCCATCATTTTTCAAGACACCCTCTCCCGAGCTCGTGAGGTTTTGCGATACACGTATTTCTAGCGCCATGTGAAAATACTGCTGAAGAGGTTTCATTTGAATGGTAACATCATGACAGGATTTCTTTCACAGATTTAAATATTACAGTGACAAATAATCTCGCCATGGCATGGTCTGGTAGCGAAAGGGTTTTTAATAGAAAAGATAGATAATTAATTGAAACGGAAAGTATTTCTTAGAAAGTGGTTCTTCGGACGTGACCCCAACTCCAGTAAACAAGGAAGTAACTTATACTTTCTTTTGGTAGAAACGAATACCTTCACGTAATAGTCACGATTTAAAATTAGCACAACCACAGGTATCAGGCAAAACGACACGAATACGAATTCTCGGAATTTACTTTCGTGACTGTGCTCCTTTATTCGCATTTTACGTTTCTGGGAAACTGTCCACCTACCCCTCCCCTAAGCCAACATTTTGCCCTAAGTAAGAACTAAGTGTTAATGTTGGTTTAGGGGAGGGGTAGGTGGGCAGTTTCCCAGAAACGTAAAATGATCAATTCAAACCGTATTATTGCCAACTGACTATGTGTTCCTCACGCCTACGGTTGGGTAAACCGCAGTTGAGGATCCGGGGGAGGGGAGGGGAGTCATAGGTGTTCGGCGTCCCCAAACAAAATAAACACACATCGAAAAATAATCTCCAAATTATCGGAAGGAAACCTCAAAGCATTAGCTTTCTTAAAATAGAAAAACCAAATTTCAAGCACTCAGATGTTAGTAAACGTTTCTTTTCTAACTGAAGGAAACACTCTAATGGGGAATTATTTTAGTATCTGAAAATTATGTTTATTTTTCAAGGATCGATGGTTAAAATTCCTCCCATTATAAATCACTGCGTATAAATAAAGTTGTTAACAACAACCACAAGTTTATTTCAAATTAAAGTATGGCTTACAAAGCTTGTGCCCGCAATTAGCGAAGGCTATTCGAGGCGCGTACAAGAGAAAAAAGAAAATTCTATAAATATATATATATATTAAACGAAAAATCCTAGAAGCAATCTAGTTTGTCGTGTGGTTTATAGCCAGAGTGAGACAGGNTTCTTTCACAGATTTAAATATTACAGTGACAAATAATCTCGCCATGGCATGGTCTGGTAGCGAAAGGGTTTTTAATAGAAAAGATAGATAATTAATTGAAACGGAAAGTATTTCTTAGAAAGTGGTTCTTCGGACGTGACCCCAACTCCAGTAAACAAGGAAGTAACTTATACTTTCTTTTGGTAGAAACGAATACCTTCACGTAATAGTCACGATTTAAAATTAGCACAACCACAGGTATCAGGCAAAACGACACGAATACGAATTCTCGGAATTTACTTTCGTGACTGTGCTCCTTTATTCGCATTTTACGTTTCTGGGAAACTGTCCACCTACCCCTCCCCTAAGCCAACATTTTGCCCTAAGTAAGAACTAAGTGTTAATGTTGGTTTAGGGGAGGGGTAGGTGGGCAGTTTCCCAGAAACGTAAAATGATCAATTCAAACCGTATTATTGCCAACTGACTATGTGTTCCTCACGCCTACGGTTGGGTAAACCGCAGTTGAGGATCCGGGGGAGGGGAGGGGAGTCATAGGTGTTCGGCGTCCCCAAACAAAATAAACACACATCGAAAAATAATCTCCAAATTATCGGAAGGAAACCTCAAAGCATTAGCTTTCTTAAAATAGAAAAACCAAATTTCAAGCACTCAGATGTTAGTAAACGTTTCTTTTCTAACTGAAGGAAACACTCTAATGGGGAATTATTTTAGTATCTGAAAATTATGTTTATTTTTCAAGGATCGATGGTTAAAATTCCTCCCATTATAAATCACTGCGTATAAATAAAGTTGTTAACAACAACCACAAGTTTATTTCAAATTAAAGTATGGCTTACAAAGCTTGTGCCCGCAATTAGCGAAGGCTATTCGAGGCGCGTACAAGAGAAAAAAGAAAATTCTATAAATATATATATATATTAAACGAAAAATCCTAGAAGCAATCTAGTTTGTCGTGTGGTTTATAGCCAGAGTGAGACAGGAAGGCAGACTGTAATTCATACGGAAGTACACCACGTCATGATTTTGAGAATTGCACTGTAATATCAGAAACTCTAATGTAGTCGTCCTCTTTTTCCAGTATTTCAGAGAGGTTCCCCTTTAGTTCGCTTTTGAATCGATTTTTTTAAAGTGTTTTGATAGAAAGTGAAATACTGTTCCAAATCAAAGCACCGGAAATAGAGAAGGCTCGCTTCACATTTTCAGTTCTAACTTGTTCTACATAGTAATTTTCATTAGTAACAGATCTAGTCCGGTAACTGTGGACAGAAGACAGTTTCGTGAACATATTCTTAGTGTTATCAGGAGCGAGATTATTATGGACATCGTACATTAAAAAGCTCATTTCCTCAAATAGCAAGAACGATATCGGGAACTGTTTTGTTTCTAAGAACAACGGAACAGCATGAGTTCTTGGTTCAGAGAAGAACATTAGCCTAAGGGCTCTCTTCTGCAAAACCACTGAGTAGTTTATGAAGATGCGTTTCAGCAGCATGACCCCAAGAACAGATACCATAACTGATATAAGGTAAAGTTAAAGAGCGGTATAAAGTGAGAAGTACATGTCGGGGAACAAACTGTCTGAGCTTGGCGATAATTCCGATTGTTTCACTGACTTTTTGACAAACGTAATCTATATGAAATTTTCATGAAAGGTTCGAATCCATGAGTATACCAAGATATCTAATCATTTTTCATTTCGAACGGTTGACTGGTATTTGAATTATAATTAATTATTTTGGTATTAGGATGAAAAGGAATAGTCTTTTGGCGTGAACGAAAGATGATATAGTTAGTTTTTTTCGATATTCAAGGTTAATTTATTGACAACTAGCCAAGACCACACTTTTGAAAAGTTCTTCGTTAATCTCAGTTTCAAGTTTTTTAAGATCTCCGTTTGCATAAGTTAAACTTGTATCATCGGCGAACAAGTAAAATTGAAGCTTATTTGAAGACTTATATAGATCATTAATATACAAGAGAAAAAAGTCATGTTGCAATTGTTTTTTTCGTACGTGATGTCCCTATGCATCATTCCACCGCAGAAATTCATTCCTTTACAGTTTCCCACGCAAATGGTAAAATGCGAGGGTCTGCTGGCTAAACAAACTCTATTTAATTCCAACCAAAAAGTTTCAAAATCAGATACGCACATGTAGTACTCCTGACAATAAAAGCCATTATTAGTAAAAACACCAACGAAATACCAGGTGATTTTTAGCTGCGCTCACTCGTGAAATATGGTTCAACACTCGTAGAGAAGTTCTGTATCAACGCGCGACCGTGTTATATCCTATATATAAAATAGTTGACTTTTGTAACAGTTAAGAGGACCTAGTTTTAAAACATACACTGAAGAGCTCTGAAGGGCTATTCAACTGAAATGTTTAATTCAATATACACACCAAATTACATTTATAATACTCTATAAAAATAAATATATCAAGTGAAATGGTAATAAAATAAATAAAAATAAATAAACTAAATTATTATTGAGTTATTTTACTACTTTGGTATTCAACTAAGTCAAAAGGATGAGGAGCTTGTGAGTATAGGTAGTCGAATAGAATGCTTTATAAAGGATTAGGATAGAAAGAACCGCAGGAAGAACTGCAGAATCTCCACTTTCAAGTTTAAGCATTCTACTGACGTGCCCCCTACCAGGGTCAATTGAAGGTTTTCTGGGAAACTACCCACCTACTCCTCCCCTAAACCAACATTAACACTTACTTTTCACTAAGGGCAAAATGTTGGCTTAGGGGAGGGGTAGGTGGGCAGTTTCCCAAAAACTTAAATTGCTGACGGTGACTGCGATGATGCCCAACATGATCGGAAATCGAGATTTCGCAACAATAAGCGACAACAGACAACATCCAACTTAACTTGAACTATTAACCTGGGAGATTACACGTGTTAATGGTCTCTTGCAGGTGAAACGATACCGTGCTGATTATTCCCAGTGATAGAGGGACAGTGTTGGGATACTACTTTTAGAAAATGTTGCTGTAACATGGTTTTCAAACAAAATGAAGTCGTAATTGGAACTGGAAAGTTACGTATTGGTGAAGGGTTCGCTCAGTTTGGTTTTTCTTGCATACTGGATTTCCTTCCAGACACGTCTACTTCCACAGACTTGAGCGCGCGGTGAATCTCGGGACATGCCATGTGCACATTATGGGCAGCGGCATTCATTAACGGATGGAGCAATTCATTGATCTCTTGCAGAATGAACGGTGTCTATAAATGTATAGAATTGGTAATCAGAGACTAGTTCATTAGAATTGCTTAAGTAGAATCACGAACGTAGCTCAAGAATTGCCTAGTCCCTGTACGGCGTTTTCCCAGTCCCTCTCGGTCAATTCGTTTTCGGTGACGTATGCGAGGCGAATGGGCGGGAAACATTTTCGCATGGACCACGTGACCCGAAACGCTTTGGCCGCGAGGAAAAATGAGGCCTAGGCACTAGGCAAGCTCAAGAACAGCGTTATACCTTTGAGGAAATACGCAGTGTTAAGCTGCGCGAGACGGGGTCTGTTGAAGTCACTAGACGAAGCTTGCCTGCAAAATACAAAGATCGGGGCAAATAACTACAGAATAATGACGCGATTAAGAGGAAGAGGGCACACCAATCAAACCAGTGATCGAACGATTTACTGAATGGCTGACTGCCGCCTGGGTGAGTTCTATAACTACTCCTGACAACATGAAATTATCTTTTGTCATCGGGTAGCTTCGTGTACAGGGCATGCGTTGTATGAAATACGACATCATATTCGAAAGCTTTCGTTTTCGTCCGTCTGATAAGCTTATGTTTTAAAACAATTCCGTTTGCGTATCAGTTGAGAGAACCAAACTTTTGTGACTAACCAATAGCTGATCTTAGGGAAGGAATGGCGTACTGAGCGACTGACTTAATTAAAGCAAAAATGATCAGAAACAGGAACGGACAAAATGATGGACTAGCTGAAGGACTAGAGAGCAAATAGAACAACGGACACAAGTTATACAATCGACAGATGGACGGAGTGAATTGTCTCAGGGACGAAATGGATTGATTGTAATCTCGTTAGCAGCGGACATTCAGTGAAATAACCTGTTTAAAAAAGCACTTAGCTCTGTTTAACAAACAAGGGGGAGTTTGTAGAGCTCCGCTTGTAAAGAGCACACCCAAAAAAGCAAACATTCTTATAACTCTCTACCTTATCAAGGTGACAGTGTTCAAGAGACTTAAATCACAATCCAACATGCCAAAGTTACGAGCAAGCAAGTACGCTAACCTTTACGCTGCAAAATGCTGAATGAAAACAACAACTTATAACAACAACAAACACCACCACAACCACCACAACAACATATAAAGAACGTCTGCCCGTTGGAAATCGAAGGGAAAAAGGTTTAAATGTCTTCATTTGATATTTACCAAAGGAAGTAAAAATAAGAATTATACTGGAAGAAAAATTATTCTAACATTACCTCGTAAACGCAACAATAGCGCGCTGGGTGCTAGGGATGTCCCGCGGTTTAGAACCCGTTCTATTTTATCAGTATATGCAGTCACCATAGTACTCAGAACAGAGGCATCAAGAAGAGACTGTTGAATCAAAGATATAAAAGGGAGTGACTACAGTCAGACGTTATAACATGTACCGGTACAGGTACGACGTTGATAAGGCACGACACCTTGCGGTAAAAATAACTCTCTTGGAACCCAGGTGTGTCGTTAATTGAGTGTGGAGTGTCGAATCTGACCAAGCATATAAACAAGCTTGTGCCGTGCTCCAATATCGTGACAACGGATGCAAAAAATGACCGTTTGCCTTGTTTTCGCGATGTCACTACTNGGGGGAGTTTGTAGAGCTCCGCTTGTAAAGAGCACACCCAAAAAAGCAAACATTCTTATAACTCTCTACCTTATCAAGGTGACAGTGTTCAAGAGACTTAAATCACAATCCAACATGCCAAAGTTACGAGCAAGCAAGTACGCTAACCTTTACGCTGCAAAATGCTGAATGAAAACAACAACTTATAACAACAACAAACACCACCACAACCACCACAACAACATATAAAAAACGTCTGCCCGTTGGAAATCGAAGGGAAAAAGGTTTAAATGTCTTCATTTGATATTTACCAAAGGAAGTAAAAATAAGAATTATACTGGAAGAGAAATTATTCTAACATTACCTCGTAAACGCAACAATAGCGCGCTGGGTGCTAGGGATGTCCCGCGGTTTAGAACCCGTTCTATTTTATCAGTATATGCAGTCACCATAGTACTCAGAACAGAGGCATCAAGAAGAGACTGTTGAATCAAAGATATAAAAGGGAGTGACTACAGTCAGACGTTATAACATGTACCGGTACAGGTACGACGTTGATAAGGCACGACACCTTGCGGTAAAAATAACTCTCTTGGAACCCAGGTGTGTCGTTAATTGAGTGTGGAGTGTCGAATCTGACCAAGCATATAAACAAGCTTGTGCCGTGCTCCAATATCGTGACAACGGATGCAAAAAATGACCGTTTGCCTTGTTTTCGCGATGTCACTACTCTGTGAAAGCCTGGCAGAGGCTGCATATAAACGGGACGTGTCTTACTAATAGTTTCATAGGACTTTTCACAGCTTCTCTATCTTCTAACCGAAAACTGGAAGGATCGATATAAAAAGCAAGCAAGAAGCGGCAGAAGTTGCAGCTAGGAAGCTGCAACTTCTGCTTACTCCTTGTTGATGTACAGCAACATAATGTTGACTACGCTGCCTGGGACTACACCTCCCCTAGTCTTAACCCTTTAAACCCTAAGATCAAAATCTGAATTCTCATTTGTTGCCCCTATTCACTTCCTACAGAAGTAGAGGGGAGAAGTTGATAAATATCAAGCAAATTCATCTTGTGTGATCATGTTTCCGCAATTCTCATGACCACTCTGTTTTACAAAGCATTGATATTACAACGAGAAATTTGACCCTGATCACTCTTAGGGCTTACACGAGGGTTAATAAACAGCGGCGTGATTTCTTTACCTCCCATAATAGACAGTTAACTGAAACTGTTGTGAGACGGGGCCTAGGAATTTTCGACCTTATCCCAGAAGAGTAGAATATCTAACAAAGAATTGCCACACTGCAAGTTAAATCTGTCGTACCGTTCTATCGTCATCCTCTAACACAGGTCTGAAGCTTCTGCTGAGTTCTTCATTGACTAAATTCTGAAGTGTCTTGTTCAGAGTAGACAGATACTCCAGCTGAAATGCCACGCTATTTAACATGTACCACCCATCCACAAGATAGGACTGGTGCTGTCAAACAAACAGAAAAAGTAATTAAACTATGAAGGTTCAGGGACCTGAAAAAGGTTGTTAGAAAGGAGGGAGTAGGTAATTTTCAATATAGCTCGGGGGTGACTCCCATATGAATGCCACGGGGATGCTCTTCAGAAAATTAGAATCTAAAAAGCCTGTTCCAGGCGTTCGGATGGTGGGGAGCGGGCAAAAAATTAGGGCGCCAGTCTCCCCTCGTGTTTCTTTTTGCGCTGGCCGCGTACGATTTAACTTGCTCCCCACTATCTAAACGCCTAGAACAGGCTAGAATCTAAACCCTTAAAGGAGACAATCTGGAAGTGGCTCAAGCTTGATATGACAGCTTAAGAAGACTGTACTAAAAAAACAACCCAATATTAGCCTGTACAACCGCCTCCTCCCCTCCAAAAAAATCGGGGAGAGAGACTTCTGTGCACGCTCCGCAATTTTGTTTGAGAGGAAGGAGGCGGCTGCACACAGGCTACCTTTTCATTGTGCTATAGATGTCGACATCAAATGTTATATTCAAAACAGTATCACGGCGCTTAGTTTGTTTTATATAGATAATTCTTTCCCGTACGGGTATAGCTTTTTCCCTCCTCAACACCCTAATTGAGACCAAAATCTGCAATTTCCACCCCTAAACCAGCACCCTGACAGCAGAGCTTGTTGTCGCTTGCACCATTTTGACACACGCGAGAGAGACTGCTTGAGTCGAGAAAGATGTTTGTTGAGCATGCGCTGCATGCTGCTTTGAGACGGTTTCAAACCCTTGGTACAGTGGGCTCAGTTATGACCATCGGTTTGTCAATAAACGGATGCTCGCACTCGCAAATCAGTTTGATGAGAGAAAACGTGATTGACTCATTCAGAAGTTCGGGCTGCGGTGACTTCAAATGCTTGACGCGGTTTAGCCAATCAGAACCAATGAATTGTGCTTCGTTATACATTCATGTCCTCTGACAGTAGGACATCTACCTGACTGATGAGCGACTTGACCAAAAGCCATCTGTAAACAGAAAGCAGGCTCTCTTCTTCCTTAGCGCGCTCGATGTAGTGATCCACGTGAACTAAACTAAGCGCCAGATTCTCCCCCTTGCAGGGATCCGTGTCGTCCTGGGGCCCACAGAAACTGGTGTACAGTAAAGCCTACAACAATAATTTTTACATCCATGAAAACAACGTCTTCATCTATTTTCTTTAACGGAAACTGCTATCTAATCAGTAACACTACAGTTTAAACTACCTGCCGAGTGTGACTGGTTTCTACGTTGCGTCGGTTAACTAGGGAGTCAAGCAAACACCCTTTTAAGCGAAGTACGTCAACCGAAGAAGACATTTTGCAATATTCGGCAGTAGTTTCGCCTAGATTATTGGGCAAGTCGCCTCTAAAAGAGCAAAGTCACTAAGCATTTCGAATTTGACAACGTCCTGAAGTATTGAAAGGGAAAACGCGTCACATCCGGTAGATGTACGTCAGTCAAGCCCTTTAAGGCTTTGCTTAGACTCCCTGCTGAGAGAGATAGACTTGGACAACCTTTGGATAGCCTGTGCCAGGCGTTCAGCGGTTTTTCTCCGTTTTCCCGGTGTATGGCTTAACTCGCTCCCCACCATCTGACCGCTGCGCTCTACTATCTGAACGCCTGGAACAGGCTAACCTTTGGATAGCAACCCAGAAGAGGAAAAGAAATGATCTTGGAAAAGTGGGTTGATCTCGTAGGCTTTTTTTCCGATACTTCATTTGAAATCTACCTCTTAATGTTGCAAAACAGTGTATAAGAGAAAGGTATTTAGACAAAAAATATAACCGGCTTATAACAGGAACCGCTGTGACAGTGCCTAATTGAAAGGAAACTCACCACTTCCTGGTTCGAGAAAACACTTCGATAAAGTGACAGTGGGTCACTTCCGGCAATGTAAAATCGCTCGTATCTAAAACGAAGGCGTTATAAAGCACAATTACAAGACTGCAAATATTTTGTTTTAAGAAAGGACATATGTCCGACTGTCAGGTCACCATTTGATTTTCAGTCGGAAAAACCACAAACTTCGTCTGGCATACATTATGTTGACTATTGATTTCTTTAAAAACTATCTTCTGAATCTTCAGCTTTTGATCTGTCCGTTATAAATCATGACCAACCACAGGTAAGAATTTGTCGGAAAATGGGTTAATTTTAGTCAGACATTGTTATTTCCAGCTTTGCCATCCATTATTTCGTAATAGCCCAGAAAAAGGGAAATTTCCACTGTACTGTATTTATCCTGTCGACTACGCCATGTTTGCTTCACATCCCACGTGGTCCCTAGTTCGTGCCCAGACCCTTAGCAGGCAACAGCACAGTCATTAATGCAAAGGACAGAAAAAATAAGGAAACATCTTGGGAGCAATTCTCGCCCTCTGAAAACATTCGCCTCGTTTCGACTTCTGCAAAACTGCTGCTGCATGACTCAAGTCAACAAAAAGTATTCGA